AGGACCCTGCCACTTAGCTCTCAATGCATCGGGCTAGCTTGGTCCCCCTACCCAAGGACCCTGTCACTTAGCTCTCAATGCATTGGGCTTGCCTGGTCCTGTGTCTGGGGACAGTTCTGGGATGCTCTGCCACTTGCCCACTTTCAAAGAACCAGCAAATGGCCCAGCCAGGCCACCTGGAGACCAACTGGTATGTCCCGAGGGTCCTTGTCCCTCCAGGCTCTGTGCCCGCTGCTGATTGGGCCAGGCTCACCTCTTGCCCCCAGTACCACTGTCGGGTGGCTCCCTGTCACATAGAATAGGGACTCAAAGGAAGGAGGTGTAAGCAAGGACTCATCTTGGGACTCTCCTGTTTTCCTCAGTGCCCACAGTCCAACCAGGCCCACTGCGCAAATGAAAACTGCAAGTTCACCTACAGACTGGACGAACCTGCTCAGGTTCAGGTAGGAGCCCAGACCCACCTGTTCAGGTAAGGGGAGGAGCCTGGGACCACCTGCTCAGGTAGGGGGAGGAGCCCGGGACCACCTGCTCAGGTAAGGGGAGGAGCCTGGGACCACCTGCTCAGGTAGGGGGAGGAGCCCGGGACCACCTGCTCAGGTAGGGGGAGGAGCCCAGGTCCACCTGCTCAGGTCGGGGAAGGAATCCAGGCCCAACAGCTCAGATATAGGAAGGAGCCTGGGACATTCTGCTCAGGTTCAGGGGTAAGGGCCTCAGAGTCAGCGAGCTAGAAAAGGCGGTCCTACTGCAATGAAGAACCAGCCCCCTCTTCCTAGAGGCTTCCACAGACTGCACCCCTGCCCCCCTCCTACACCTGGAACTTTATTTGATGGCTTTACCCAGAACCCTCCCTGGGGCAGAGGTGAGGATGGGGGTGCTGGGACCAGCCTGCATACCACCTCAACATCCTGAAAGCTAGATAAGGGTAACTTCAGACCTTGGACAGAACATACACGGTCAGACTGATGGGCTTGAGAGCCCGAAGCTGTCTGAGTAGGGTGCAGCCACCCTGGCCAGCCAACACCTCCTCCAAGGAGTCCTCCGTAACTGCTAGGGGGAAGTGTCTACTGAGGCCCTATAGGGCAGGCTTCCCTCCTCCATCATACAAGCCACACCATGGCAGCTCCCTTTAAGAGTTCGATGTTCTTCTCAGAGTGAGGTCCCGGGGGCCTCAGCCTCACCTGGCTCAGACCCTAGAGCTAGCCCAGCCCAGCCTGTAGCCAGGCACATCAACACACTTGCCCCAGGGAAGCCCAACCTCGCCATCCTGGCCCCAGTGGTTGTGGGCTACCCCTGCTGAGACACCCCCACAGGGACATCTGTCCTGCTCCCCATGGCCCTGACGGGCAGACTGGCCTCACACGCCTCCTCTGCCGACTGTCAGGGCACGTATTCCCATGGGGGTGCTTTCTGCTGCTCCTCACCAGGATGTGTTTCCCTCTGTCAGCGCCCACCCACAGAACCAGCACCATGAAGTTCAGCTGTCACCTAATGGGGTGAAGTTGGGGCCCAGGACTCAGAGGGTGCGCATCAGCACTGGGCCTACTGAGCCCGCAGATAGAGCCTCTTCATGACTTTGTCACCTGCCGACTTCCAACCAAAGGTGTGTTAGCACTCTCCTCTGGCTGGCCAGCCAGGGGCTCACAGGCCTGAGCCTGAGGCCATCCGGGCCCCCCCATCTGTGGCTCCCTGACCCTCTTTTCTCTTTCACCTTGCATGGGGGGGGCTGGTCCTCAGAGCCGGTGCAGACATAGGCAGCCCAACCCACATGCAGGGGCACCTGCTCCATCCTGCGGATGTGCTCAGCACGGGGCGGGCAGGGCTGAGGCGGGAGGAGCAGGGGACCAGCCAGTGTCTACGGAGAGGGCACTACTGAAGCAGCCAGATGCAAGAGTAGGACACAGGAGGGATTCAGCCAAGGGGGGGGGGGGGAGGCGATCAAAGGAAGCGGAAAGAATATTCCAAGAAATGAAAGTGAAGGAGCAGGAGGGACAGGAGAGAAAGTGTCCTGAGGGACTCGAACAGCTGAAACTGCAGGTGATGGTGGGGTGGCAGGGAGGGAGGAAGAGGAGGCTGAAGTCAAGCCAGGGAGATCAATGATACCTAGGCATGTCCGAATCAAGAAACTGCCTGCAAAACATAAACAGTCACACGTTAGTGAGGCGGGGCAGCGGGCAGCAGGGGCAGCAGGGGCAGCGGAGCGAGTGACCAGTGCAGAGGGAGCCGGGGCCACTCTGAACAGGAGGCAGCAGAGCGTGGCTTCAGCCAGGGAGGGTGAGGCGAAGCGTGAGGGCAGCTGTGGACGGAGGCAGGCCGGCCCCCCAGGGGCCCACCATGGCCACAAGCCAGGAGGTTGGAGGGCCCTGTCCTGACCAGCCAAACTGGGGTCCTGACACGTTTTGGACAGGGTTGGGGGCAGATGGTTGAGGGGCAACTCCAGCGAGGGCCGAGCTGAGGGCGGAGCCAAAGGCAGAGCCAAGCATGAGGCCAATCAGCTGAGGGCTAGGTCTCCGTCCCACCCACTGAGCAGGTCTTCCTCTGTCTGAGGTCCTAGGGGCTGACTCGCATGTGGGCCAGGTAGACCCCAGAGCTGCCTGGCGGTGGGACCCACTGACAGCTACCCTGTGACTGACCCAGGGGCCCCACTAGGATGCTCGGGACACGCTGTCCCAGAACCTGACCGTATGGGCTCAGTCACAGAACTGGAGGTGTGCGGAGACAGAGGTACCTGCCTCCTCTTCCTCTGCCCTACAAGATGCTCCCATAGTGCCCTGAGATGCCGCAGCAAAGGAAAGGGAGAGGTCAGGGGATGATGAGGTCATCTCCCAGCATGGCTCAGCCAGGCAGACAGACCCTGACCCACGGCGCAGGTACAGGGCCAAACACGCCTCAGGTGGCCCGTTCGGGGGACCATGACTACTGCTCTCCAGACCACCGAAGTCCCCCTCATGCTCCAGGTTGTGCAGCACGCCCCGCTCCCCCAGCCTTCACCCTCTGGATGGAACAGGTGAGCAATTCCCCTATCGACGCAGCCCCCTGGTCTTTCTGTGATTGTGATGTTAAAACCTCAGGTGCAGTGGACAGCCCCCCTCAGCTCCAGTCCTGCCTCTGTGTCTGGGGGTGGGAGATGGAAGAGGCCCTCGTGAGAGTGGCCAGCACAGGACTGAAGGACTCTACATCTTCCCAAACTCCCGGAAAGCCAGCTTTGCAGATGAGGTCAGAGGTGAGAGCGGCTGCCCGGCCAGCAGGCAGGTGTCTCCACATGGACGTGAAGTGCAGTGGCTCTGCCCTTCTCAGAGCCTGACCTCCACATGTGGCCTCTCGAACATCCCACCCTGCACATTTTGTCTACAACTATGCTACCAGGCTCAGCAGCCTGGCTCATGGCCCCGCCTCTAACCCTGGTGTCCCTGGCAGGGCTCCAGCTGCAAAAGCCGGTTCACCTGGACCTGGGCCTCCCAGAGGAAAGCCCAGACGGACACAGGTCCCAGGCCATGTTCTCTGGACCTGCCACCTCTAGGGTTCCAAGTGGTCCAAGCAGCAGACCCCACAAATCCCACTACTGAGCACTAAGGGCCCTGCCCCTCGGGGTCTCAGAGTCTGTGTGGGATAGGTCTGCCAGTGTGTCCCCCACCCAGCCATACCACTCTGAGGGCAGGACCCTGCCACTGTGTCGTCTCAGGAAGCATGACTGAAGACTAGTGAGGCCACCAGGTCCTGACTGACAATACCCCTACTACCGGCAGAGCCGGCCAGAGCCCACGGGTCCTGGAGCAAACGCCCTTCACTGTCCTCTGGGACTCACCGGTCATCCTGAGCGGGGTGGATGTACCCAGATGACAGGATGTTGAGAGACAAGATGTTAGGGTCAATCAGAGACTCGTCCGTTTCTGGGGTGTTCCGGATGCGACCTAAGGGAAGGCAGTGTGTCAACCCTGGGGTCTGGTAGGGTGGCCCCTGCCACTGCCCCACCTGGCAGGGACCCAGAGACCTCGACTCTGCATCTCCATGTGGCCACAAGTATCCACTCAGGCTGGACTCCAAGGTCAGGGGCTTGCAGGTCAGTGCTGGCCATTGTGAATGATCTCTAGCAGGCTCCCCACTGCACAGTTCCGGCTCGGAGCTGCTGTCTCTCCCTATTTCTCTCCCTTTGTTTCCTCTCTCCGTATCTCTGTTCTGTCTCTCCCTCTTCTCTTCCTCTCTATCTTTTTGTCTCTCAATCTCTTTGTCCCTCTCTCCATATTTCTGTGTGTCTCTCTGTTCCTCACGTGTGTGTGTCTGTCAGACTACCGGATGGGTCTCTTTGTTTCTGTAAGTGTGTGTGTGTGTGTGTTTGTGCATGTGTGTGTGGGGGGGGTGTGTCTGTTTCTGTGTGTGTCTCTCTCTGTTCCTCACAGAGTGTTTGTGTGTTTGTGTCTGACCTGTGCATGTGGGGGGAGGGATCTCTCTGTATCTGTGTGTGTGTGCACATGCAGTGCATATGGGTGCGTATGGCTGGGTCTCTCTATTTTGTTCTTCCTTCTAACTCATGGAGTACAAACACTTGTACCCAAAATCCCAAAACTAAGCCTGCTGCCATCGGTTGATTTCGATCCACATTGGCCCTAAAGGATATAGAGCTGCTCTGTGGATTCCAAGGCTGGGATCTACGGAGCAGACTGTCTCATCTTTCTCTCAGGGGAAGGCTGATGATGGGTTTAAGCTGCCACCTCTCAGTTCAGTCCAACACTTAACACTCCAGGATACCAGGGCTCCTGAGAAAGCACAGGCCCTCCTGACTACTGAAAAACACATCCCCGCCTGTATCCAGAGAAGCAGTGACACCAGAGATGGAGGCAGAGATGGGCACATGGAGAGAAGGAGCAGCTGAGGACTCTGGACTCATGGAAAGAGAGGGACTGAGAGCTGGCGGCCAGGAGGCAGGCTTGCAGAATGTGCCCTTTGGTAGTTTAAATTATTATATATTCCTGAGTGTTTTTGTGTGCATCTCCTCCCCCCAAAACCCAGCAAAACATAACAGGGAATGGAAGCAAATACTGTTGAATGATGATGCACAGAGGAGACTGTAATCATTGCAATGAAATTATGGTGTAAAGCCGATGTTCTCCCATGTAAACTATCACTCAGTTCACAATAAAACTTACACACACAGAAAAGTTCCCATGTCTTTTTGTAATTGGGATTTAAAAAATACCTTTCTGTCAAGTTGATTCTGACTCATAGTAAGCCAACAGAACAGGGTGGCTGTCAATTTACCCTGGCAGTTTTGTAATGGGGAGTCCCATGAGGCACCTGAACCTGGGAAAGTGGCTCTGTCTTCGGCCTGACCCTGAGCTCAGGGAGCTCGTGAAGACCCCAGGGCCTCTACTTGTCCCTTTTGCTGCCCCTCCCCATACCATGTCCAGGTCACAGGGCGTGAGAATGGTCATCTCCTGTCCCACTGATCTCAATGGGGGATGGGGACTGGGCTCTGAGGAGGCCTGTGGAGTCAGCTCAGGGTCCCAGGAGGTCAGAAAAGAGGTGGAGACCCAACAGAAAAGACTCCCCTGTCTTAGAACTGTGGCCAAGTACAGCTCTGCTTGATTCAAAAACTCTAGAGAGGCTATCGATGGGGGGTTAGTGCCCCCACAGAGATTCCCCTCCTCTCTCTGGACTCTGGTGGGAGACCCTGTGGGCTAAGCCACAGGGACACTGGCCTCCCGAGGGCATCCTGCTGACCAGTCAGTGGTGCCCAGCTTTGATGACAAAAACCAGAAGGCAAGTTCACACAGGAACTGGTATTGGTAGATAAGTTGAGGGGTACAAGAAAATGCCGAAAGCCCTTGGGGACCATCTCCTGGCCCAAGGTTCTCCCCTTCAGGTGAGGGACAGAGGAAGGGATAGGGTAAGTGACTCAGCCCAGGCCCCGGGCCACCCCCCCACCCCCCCCACTCACCAACGACCAGCTCCCGGACTTCCTTCCAGCGGATGTGGCTGCCCGTCTCGTGCAGAAGCGTCACGGTAATCCGCCTCTGGATGCCCTGCAGGAGTCAGGAGCAACAGGACAGTCACAGAACCTGCGGATACGAAGGCCTGGCCTTGGGGAGAGCGAGCAGGACAGGATTTCATGGGGCAGGGCCCAAGTCAGGGGACAGGGCTTGAATCTAGGGTGGAGCTTGAGCCAAGAGCCTGGGCGGAGACAAAGGCAGGAGGGTGGGGCCTGCTGCGGGGGCGGGACCTGAGTCTAGACCAGGTCCTGAACCAGGGGCGGAGACAAAGGCCAGGAGGGGCTGTGGGGCGGGGTGTTAGGTCGGACTGCACACCTGGTGGAGGAGGAAAGTTCCCATACACGGCATCCCGCCTCGGTGGTCCACCACCGCTGGGATGTAACTGCAAGAAAAAGCCCATGAGGCGTTGGCCCAGTCTCCCTCGCCCCTTCCTGGACTAGGGAGGGGGCACAACACAAAGAGGCCAGGCCAGTCTGGGAGGTCTCCCTGTTTCCCCTACACCTACAGACTCACAGCCCAGGGGGAAAGGTGGGGGTCCTGATAAAGTCAGCCACACCCCCAATCCTGAGACTCCTAAATCCAAATGGGGTTGGGGGGCTGGAGGAGGAGGGTGACCCTGCACCCTCCCCATCCCTGGCCCACCTCCTTCCACCCACACCAGGGCTCCACACTGGTCCCCACACAACAGAAGACACCCCTTACTCCTGACCCCAGCCCCACTCTGCACTTCTTCTGTTCCCTGCAACTCCAGTCCCCTCCCAGCCACCTTGGCCACTCTCCCCTTGACCTTTGCTCACGGCCCCCTCTGGGTGAGGTACCGTTTCGACTACAGCCGCCTAGTCCCTGCCCATTGCACTCATCACTCTGGGGGGATATACTGAAATCCATAACTCGTTGCCCACCTCCCCATCAGTTCCGCAGGGAAGCATGACACATAGACCATACGGGGTGTGTAGTAGATACCTGCCCAGCCCAGACCCTTACTCACTCCCCATTGGCTTCCAGCTCACAGATCTCAAAGTAGACCAGCAGGTCGTATTTGCAGTGGCAGGGCCCTGGGGAGGGCCGAGTCAGCGTGCTGAGCTTGGTGGCAGGCACTGGGGGACAGAAAGCAGGTGGAATCGTGACCATCAGGTGGTGTAATAGTATGGGGAACACGGAGAGGGAGAGCATGTGTGTTCCCTGAGTGGGGGCAGGTGGTTTCAAGTACTGAGGGCAACTCCCTCCTCTCCTGATCCTCCAGGAGACAGCCAGCCCCGACCCTGACCCCAGCATCCAGCTCAGTCCTGGCATGGTCAGGCCGCCCCCCCCCACACCCATTCATGAAGGGACAGAAGTGACCTTCTCCCTGCCCCATCTGACAGGTCCTGCTGCTTAGTGGAGGGGTGATGGACAGTCTACCGCTGAAGCCCCACCCTAGGACAGAGTGCCTTGCTGATGGGGTGATGGGGGTCAGGAGAGGGTGGTCAGATGCAGAGCCCCAGTGCCTGGGCAGGCCCAGCTCCCCTGGGAGGAGGGCACGGTAGGAGTCACAGGCGCTGGGAGTGCCACCTACCTGGCTTGGATAGCGGCATAACTCTCGGGAAGTGCCGACGTGAGGGCCTCAGGGGGCTGTGAGGGGAGACCACAGGCTGAGAGTAAGCTTGGCTGAGAGGGGGTCCGCAGGGACCCAGGCCCAGGAACAGCCAGTCCCATTGATCTATCTGCCTCCCCTCCCCTCCCACCAGGCTGGGTGACCCCTGTCTCTGGCTCTGCACCATCTTGGAAGGGAAAGCAGGGTCCCTCAGCGTCCAGTCTCCCTCCCCAGAAGCCCGAGGCCCCAGAACATCAGGTCGAGGACCAAGCACCAACTCTCACGTAGGACAGAGCTGTCCTCGGCCTCCCAGGGGCCAAGCACCCTGAAATCAAAGCCTCTCAAACCCCTGTCCCTAGGTGTCCACTCAGCTTTGGGTCCTGCATGGCTAAGGGGACAGAGCGTAGACTCCAGAGCCCCAGGGCTGATCCACTTTCTCCCTGCCCTGTAGGCCTGATCCAGAGATGGACAAGCACACACACACACACACACACACACACACTGCAGAGCACCAGCAGAGGTCTTGGCCTTGCCTCCCAGTCCTAGGATGCCGCATCATCAAGGGACTGGGCAGACACTCCCTGGGTTGTTAAAGACCCTGGTGGAGCAGCAGAAGTCCCCTCCCCTGAAGGCCACCCCAGGACCTTCCTCCGCCCAGTGCTGCCAGGAGTCCAGGCCCAGGTCTGACCAGTTCTGAGCTGTCTCATGTAACAAATCTCTGGGTGGAACAGAATGTGGGCTTCAGCAGGAGCGGGACTCTGTGTGTGGTGAGGGTCCGCTTCACAACATGGGAAGTAGATGGGCCATGGGGAGGTGGGCTTTCAGGTGACAGCCCCCCTTGCCCACCCCCTTGCCCAGGGTGCAGACCTGAGCACATCCTTGCAGAGAGGTGGGAACGGGTGTTGCTGATAATGTCCGAAGACCTCGAAGACAATAGGCTGGCTCTTGATATACTCAATGAAGGACTTGGTCACCTCCACAGCCACCTGGCAGTGGGCGGGAATCACAGGATGACCACTGGCCCAGCCCAGCCTCCACCAGGGCACCACTCCCCTCCAGGTCCTTCCCCGCCCAGCCCCACCTCCCTGAGCCTCCACCACCAGAAAGCCCTCCACCTCTGTCTCAGGGCCAACGGAGCTCGAGACCATTGCCCTGAATTCAGAGGCTAAGACTGGTCAAGAGTAAGGGTGTTGATACATCTAGGGTCCTGCCCACTCGCTCTATGCCCCCACATCCTGGCCTCCCATCCTATTGCCTTGTGGTCAGGACTGGCTCAGCATTTTGCAGGACCTAGAGGGCCATGTGAGAACCAGGGCTCAGGAAGACCTTCACCCTCAAGGTCCCATCACCCACAGCTTCTGTGGTCACTGGGGTCAGCATATCCCCCTCCTTGTTGTCCACCTAACCCCATGTCCAGCTGCAGGGACCTGCTCTGTCCTGGGCATTCCTGCTGTCCACCATCCTGCCAGCCTGGCACATGGTCCTCTTCCTGCCTAGAGCACTTTCTTGGCCTCTCTCCTGAAATATACCTCCTCTGGGCACTGCCCTGGTCCCCTTCCCCAATGCCCAGCCCAAGGGGGCCTAAAGGTTCCCAACTTCCCAGGAATGATCCCTATGCCTCAGCCTGGCACATGGCTGGTGTTCAGAGGAGGGAGAATCGCTGTGGGAAGGATTAGGACATGCTAAGTAGGCAGGCAGAGGGGTGAACATGGGCTCTCAGAACCTACATTTTGGACGTGGTAGAAGCCAAGTGGTGGGCCGCGGCCCGTGTTCTTCAGTGGCTCTGTGGAGAAGGCCTCGTCGTGGCGGTGAATAAAGCTACCGACCAAGAGGAGAGGTGGTTGGGGCATATTAGGATGGGGTGGGACCCATGCATGTGGGGCCATGTGGGCGTACACACTGGTCATGCCCCGCCCAGGCCTGTGCCTTGCTAAGGGCAGGCAGCAACTCCCAGCAAAGCCCCTGGAGACACAGCGGCGGGCTCACTTGAACTGGCAGAAAATGTCGGCGTATTCAGCAGAGATGCTGGATGCCTGCAGGACCGTCACGCGGAAGGTGAAGGTGCTGCCTAGGTGGAGGTGGTCCAGGGCAGTGTCCAGGGGCCCGTCCAGCACGGCTTTCTCTGGGCTGTCTAGGATGAGGCCTTCAGTAGGAACCGCTGCTGGAAACCAAGGGGAGAGCGAAGTGACAAGGAGGACCCAAAAGTGACAAGGAGGGGCTTCAGGCAAAGAGCTGGCGAAGGCCTTGCCTCACTGGGTTATAGCTTGGGGCCTCACAGAGGCTGGCTCTAGAGTTGGGCAGACGGGGCCGGACGGCCTACCTGAACAGGTGTTGTTGTTGACCTCATCGGCAGAGGGCCCTGAGTCAGCGCCCTGGCCCTGACCTTCCACAATGCGTAGCTCTTCCTGGGAGGTCCCCGAGCGGGACATCCCCACCACGGGGCAGGACTCGGACTGGAACTGTACAGAGGAGGAGACTTGACAGAGTCCACTTAGACTGGTACCATCCACAGCTCTGTTCAGGGCCGGCCAGCCCCACCGCCCAGGAGCCTGTGTTCCAGGCAGGGCACCCACCTCCCTAGGCCTCTCAGTTCCCCCGTAATGAATTGGCCTCAAAGTCCCCTTTGGACTCTGTGATCTGTGGTTGTCTGAAGGATGAGCTATCCTGGTCACAGCCCCTTGGCTCAGTGAAAAAGAGACCAGTGGGCCAGGTGGGAAGAGCTGTTTGATCTCCAATGTTGCTCCCTCCCCGCCAGACATGGTGCTCCACTCAAACATGCCATGGCTTTTGCCCATTTGTCCTTGAGGTACCTTTTCAAAATGCTGATCATCGAAGGAGATTTTGGCGGTTCCTGATTGGCGCACGCCAGAACCATAATCAGGGGCTTCTTCATCAGCTGAAAGAGGAACCGAGCAGGAGCGTTGGGGACCAAGAGGTGGGTGTTCTCAGAGCGTGGCCAAGCATCCTCACAGGGAGGGTGTGCAGACAGGTTCTGACCCACACTGTGGAACCCCAAGACTGCAAACCCCTGCTCACTGACCACCAGGTGCCCTCTCAGCACCCCTGGGCACCCAGCCAGCTGTCCCCCTCATCACAGCCCATCCTGACCAGTGCCACAAACTGGCCATTTTAAAAGCAGAAATTCCAAAAGACTAGATAACTTAGAAATGGATAAATTTCTTGAACTCCAACTACATAAATTAACTCTAAGCAAAACAGAAAACCTGCACAGCCCTGTGAAAGGGAAGAGATTGGGTCAGTGACCAAACACCTACTGACCAGACGGCTTCACTGGTGAATTCTACCAAACATTTAAAGAAGCATTGGCACTAATTCGTCCCAAATGCTTCCAAAAATGACAAGATGAAGGAACATTCCCTAACTGATTCTCTGATGCTTGTAATGCCACAAGAAAACTACAGACCAGTATCTCATACGCATATACGTGCAAAAATCTCCTAAAAACACTAGCAAATGGAATCCAAGAGCATTCAAAGATTATAACCATAGCCAAGGAGGACTGATTCCAGGACCCAGGGTGGTCTTATACACAAATCCATCAATGTAATATACCACATTCATGTTGTTGTGGTGAGGGGCCATCCAGTTGATTTTGACTCAGAAGAGAAAAAAAAACAAGCACAAAGTCAACTCATTGACCCCAAAAAGGCATTTACCACAGTCCGACACCCTTTCATGATGAAAATCCTCTGCCAACTGGGAATCGAAAGGAACTTGCTGAAGCTGATGAAGGGTTGTTATGATAAATCCACAGCAAACATCATACCCACTCCAACTTCTCCTTTGTGTGACGCTCTCAGTGGCTTCCCACTAGGCTTGGGAAAACATCAAAGCCCCTTTATCTGTTGCCTAAAGCCATCACCATCACCACTGTATGCTGAGCAAACAATCTGAGATGATCATGTGAAGAAGAATGAGGTCTCAAGATTCGAGGAAGGCTCGTGAACAACCTGCCATGTGCAGATGACACACCTTGCTGGCTGACAGTGAGGAAGACTTGAAGCCTTTACTGATTGATGAAGGTCAAAGACTACAGTCTCCAATGTGGAATACAACGCAATGTAAAGAGAAGGAAAATCCTCACAACTGGACCAATAAATAACATCAGGCTAAGTCCCGCGGGAGAAAGATGCGGTTTTCTGATCCTGTAAAGATTTGCAGTCTCAGAAACCCTGTGCAGGTTCGTTATGAGTCGGACCAACTCCACGGTACTTAACAACACCAACAACCACAAGCGGAGAAAAAGATTGGTGTTGTCAAGGAGTTCATTTTCCTTGGCTGCACAATCAGTGTTCGTGGAAGTAGCAGTTAATAAATTAAACCATGTACTGCACTGGACAGATCTGCTGAAACAGACTGCTTTAAAGTGTTAAAGAACAAAAATGTCAGTTAGATGACTGAGGTGCACCTCATCCAAGCCATATTTTAATCACCTCACATGCACATGAAAACTGAACCGTAGAAGAACCAATGTATTTAAATTATGATGTTGGTGAAGAATGTTGAAAGTCCCATGGACTGCCAGAATAAGAAAGAAATCTTTGTTGGAGTACAACCAGAATGCTCCTTAGAAGCCAAGATGGCACCTCTAAGCTTTGGACGTGTTGTTAAGAGGGACCAGCCCCTGGAGAAGGACGTCGTGCTTGGTGACGCAGAGGACCAGCAAACAAACGGTGGACCTTCAGCGGCAGCAGAAATCATTTATGAGCATGGCTGTGAATCAGAACTGCCCCAATGGCACTACCAACAAAGCCCCCCAGCCCATTTCTGCCATTCCCCTACTGTGGGTACAGCGCTCCCTAGGAGCCTTGTGGACCCCCCTTGTAGCAGCCTGGACCCTTTTACCTGACTCAGCCCCTCCAGTTCCTAGTGTAGGCCTGGTTCTGTCCTGTGGCTCCCAGGACAGGGCCTAGAGCTCTGATATGCCCAGTGTCTACCCAGAGGCTGGACCCAGTGGGACCCAATGCCAACAGAGACCCCCAAGCCTCAGGTGAAAACCTTGCAGGGTTAGTGGCCTTTTCTAAGTTCCCTTTGTCACCAGAGCCACTGGACTATGGAAGGCCATCTGTGGCCCAAAGGAAAATCCGCATCACCCCATGAAGCAGCTTAAAGAACCCAGGCCAGCCCAGCCCCTTGGAAGCCCCGGGAGGAGCCAGGAAAAGTCACAGAGGACAGACCCTTAAACCCCCAGCACATAGGCCCCTCCTTGGGACAGCCTGGGGGATCCTGGCCCCTGCAGCTCCCACCCTGGAGCCCACACCTGCCCCTGACCCCCACCTGAGATGGCCTGGACGGCCACTCGGAGGAAGCCCTTGACATCGCCTTTCTCGTTGACAATGGCCACACGGTGGACCAGGGGCACAGGGTACAGCAGGTTGCTGAGATACACGAAGGCCCTGGGGAGAGGAGAGGTGAGGTCAGGGGCACCCGTGCACTCGGACCAGTGGTCAGCAGGGCCCGGTCCCCGACACAACGAACACAGAGCTGCCGAGTGGGGAAAGCGAAGCAGCCACAGCCAGCGGGATAGTGAGGCGGGGGTGGCGGGGAGGGACCTGTGGAGACAGAGGCATGGAGGGGACAGGAGGGAGGTGAGGACCATACCTGTCCAGTCTGAGAAGAATGCGCTGGGGAGGGGGGGTCCAGCCTGCTTCAAGAGGGCAGGACAGCCCGGGCAGGACCGGACCTCGTTGACCTATGACCCTCACACAGGTGCTGAACCCAGCATGACCCCCCATCCCTACTTCACAGGTACCCACAATTCCTTTCTAGGTCCCCCAAACGATGGAAAGTCAGCCGAGCCCACAACCCAGTCCGAGGACCTCCACACACTCTGCCTGCGCCCCCTCAGATACCCTGCCTGCTGGCAATTCCAGAGGTCTTGGTCTTGGTCTGGGGGGAGGGGACCGTAACATGCAGAGCCCATGAACTGCCAGGACACAGGGACCCTGTGGTCCAGCCAGGTTGACATGGTGGCACGGAAGCTCCCTGATGTCCCAGGCACCACCCTGGGGTCAGCACACACCTGGGGAGGGGTCACCCTCCTGGGAGCACAAGAACATTAACCCATTCCCCCTTCAACCTAGAATCCAGTCCGCCCCTGCCCACCGCTGCCCCCTCTGACCTCTGCCCGCCCTGCCCACCTCTGCCCCCTCTGACCTCTGCCCGCCCCTGCCCACCTCTGCCCCCTCTGGCCTCTGCCCACCTTCTGCCCCCTTTGACCTCTGCCCACCCCTTCCCACCTCTGCCTCCTCTGAGCACTCTACCTCCCTGACCTCTGCCCGCCTTTGCCCACCACTGCCCTCTCTGACCTCTGCCCACCACTGCCCGCCTCTGCCCTGTTCTTCCCTCCCCCACTGACGTCCAGGCACAGCATTGGCTCAGTGTGGCACAGACATCAACAGCCTGAGCCCCTGATGAAGGTACCAGGGAGGGGTCCCGGAGGGCAGGATTTGGACACAAGGTAGACCATGCAGGGACATGTATGGTCACCTGGCCAGGTCTAATGTGGTGCTAAGGGCAGTGACAATGACAATGGCAAACATCAGGAGGGACCAACCAATGCCAGGTGCTGCTTCTCAGGGGCCCTCACCGGTCACATCAGCCCCCAGGAGCACAGGCCAGCCGAAGGGCTGCGGCCACAGGTAGGGAGTGAGGTGTAGAGACACCACGGGCTGCCCAGGGGCTGGGCATGGCTGTCCCCAGAGGAGAACCCACAGCCTGGAGCTGCTCCCAGCAGTCCGTCCTGCAGACTTTCTCCCCATACCACACTCAGAGCGGCCGTAGGGTGACTGAGTGGACGGTGTGTAGGGAGGGCTGGGTGCCGGCTGCTTCAGAATGTTCCAGAAGCCGTTAGCATGAAGGGGGTGAGGGTCAGAGACTGGCTGGGGCGAGAGATGGGGGCGGAGGGAGGTCTGTCATATGCTTCTCCTTCACTCATCTCCAGCCCCTGGCAGTCCTGCTCCAGCGGCTCAAAGCATCCTACACCTGGCACTGGGGCGCGGTTGTGGGAGGGGGGTCTACAGATCCCAGAAATGGGTGCTGATGACCCTGCTGAGTGGTTCAGGAGTCAGAAACACACACCCCCCCAGGCCCCAGCTAGCCATAAACACCCCAGCCCAGTTCTCACTGGCTCTGGTCCTGCCATGCCTCCCTCCCCATGACAGTAGGAACGTCAGACAGTAGGAACTGGACACTCCTGGTCCCCAGCTCTTCCTTAGTCAGCCACCACTACCCCGCAGTCACACAACTGCCAGACGATCTTAGGGGTCATCGGAACACCCCCCAGGACACTGAATGCCACTCAGGTTGTAGGCACAGACATCCACGGCCCATAAGCCCTCACTCACCCTCCATACTGCTCAGCCCCTCAGACGCTGTCTCTGCATCCCTCCTGGGACCCTCTAGCCCTGAAGCCCTCTGGGGGGACAGACCTCTTCCAGGGGGCAGAGGCCATTTTAGCAAGGCATGGCGGGGGCGAGGCCAACCCTGAGGGTGGGAGGGGGCCACACTAGGGGTCTGTTGGAGCAGAGCCCCAAGGCCCTCGCCCTCCACGCACCCACGGGAGGACCTCAGGACGGTGGGACACCTCCCGTTTAGAACAGGTGACGACAGTGGCAGGCACCAGGGCCCCTCCCTGGAAGGAGAGGTCAGATGCTCCACCAGGGCCACAGGCCAGCAGGGCCAGTGGGAGCCCAGAGCCCAGGCCACCTCCTGGGAAGAAAGTCGAGAGGCCGGTGCGAAAGCTCTGGGCCCGACTTGCCCCACCACTCGTAGTCCCTAGGAGGAGACACCCCCCCCTCCAGCCTGTGGTTGCCCCCACACTCACACTTGGAGGGAGACAGGATGCCTCTTCCCCTTCCTGAGCTCACAATTCCTACAGTCTGGCTCAGGGAGTCAGAGGCACATTGACCCAAAAACACTGAGAGGGAAATCAAGGCAGAGGGTCAGGTCGGCCTAGGTCACAGACAGGCCACTGGCAGGGCCTCTCTGCACCCAAAAGTGGGATGCTTTCCCATCCTGTTACCGATGTGGGTTCGGGGAGAAACTGTACACTACAGAGAGGTAACCCCACAAATCCAATTCGGTCAGGTTCATGGGTAAAACCCAGGCCCTACAAGCCCAGGCTCAAAGGATGCAAGACACGATTGGGCAATCAGATCCGGAGGGAGAGCAGTGCCAAGGGCTAGAGAAATGCCCTCTAAGCACCCTGTCCTGCCCCACAACTTTGTTCCCATCTCAACACCCATGAGCCCCCTCAGTGAGCTAGCTGGAACCTCAGGTCTCAGGTGACAACTGGATCTAGAGGAAGAAACTAAGTACAGACGTACAGACAGCAGCGCTGGCAGCTTCCCTGAGCAGTTCATCAGTCAATTAAACCTATCTCTCTGTGAGCTTCCATAGTGTTCTCTCATCAGACGCAGACTGAGTCCCAGTGGTCAGACAAGCTGTAGCTGGACTGCGGGATCTGGAGGGGCCCCTCCCAAGGAAGGCATTCTATTCCTGGGGTCTGTGGCCCTTCTGTGCTATCCCAACTCTGCTGTGGACAAGTGGGCATCCTCACACCCAAACAGGGTCTTGGATTCAGTAGCATCTCTGGTGATAGCTTCCAGAAGGAAATGGAACTCTCTTCCCTGTGGTCCCTAAGCCCAGTCCACCTGGCGCAGTGATGGACTCACCCGAAAGGGGCCTCTGGGGCCAACACCCCCACCCCATAGCCTGCCCCCACCTTAAAGGGGCACCGGGCTGCAGGAGGACAAGGCCTCTTCCCAAGTCTGGCAGGACTCCCATCCTGCGTGGGGCCCACCTGCCAACTGCACCCAGGCTGTGATGTGGACAAGCACACAGTACAGCTCTCCTAAGGCTCCTGGCTCTGGTCCATCTTCTAGGTTCCAGAGACCTGCCAACACACCCCTCCACCCTGGTCCAGTTCTGCCCCGCAGCCAGCTGACTCATAGGCATGGCACACAGAGGGCTCTGGGCCCCTGGCTGAGAGACGCCACCCTGACCATGCTGGCGGAGTCAGCTCAGCACAGAGGGCACCCAACACACAGCGTAGACACCTAGTACCTAGACTTCCACAACCTGCTCTCAGAGAGCGTCCTTCCTGTCAGCAGACAGCCCCATGCCCACCCAGTCCTCTCCTGTACTGCCTCTCTTCTGGAAGCACCCATGGACCAGCAAGGGAGGACTTGCCTTGAGAGCCTCCAGGCCCATTTCCCAAGCTGTCCCTCCTCACATGGGCAGCGGGAAGGAGGAAGCTCTGTGTCCCCCGTCAATTCACCTGACACTCCAGATGCCAGAGAGAGAGCCCCTCGGCCCCACCAGGGACCAACTGGGCTGGGGCAAGGGACTCTGGCTCAGGAGACATGGAGTCCCCGCTAGGTGGTCTCACCCAGAGGGGAGAGTACCTTGAAGCAGACTGAACCCACCTCCCCGAGAGAGAGGCGGCGAGCAGGCGGTCACGGAAGGAGGAGGCAGGCGCTGGCACAAGGTTGGTGAGGCAGAGACGCATGCTGGTGGGGACGCCTTTCAGAAGGAGAGAGTGAGGCCCCCAATGTTGCTGAAGCTTTGGAGGAGAGCCAGCAGCTATAAAAGGTGAGGGGAGCTCAAAAGATGGGGACCACGCACAAACCCATGGAAGTGCATGTCATAGCACCCGCAGCCTGCACAGCTACTGCGTGGAGAAGCCAAATCACACCAAACCCAAAAGATCGTCCGGAAGCTTCCAAGTGAAGCCTTGGCAGAGCCCTCTCGGGGTTCTGTTGCCTTGGTTTGGTTGTTTTGTAAAATCTCAAGTTGACAAGAAGGGGAAAATGGTGGAAGAACCCAGCTCTTTCTGGCGGAGACTGCAGGAGCTCACCCCGTTTCTGCCCGTGGCCTCAACCACTGGTTTCTTGCCCACCTCACACCTGCTCTGGAACCCCAAGAGCCACCCTGCATCTCCAGGTGCTGAATGTAACAGCTGTACACAATCCAAGCTCAGTGGAATCCATTCCCAGAACACCTCGGGGCAGAGTACACGGGTTCTCATGGGCAGTGGAAGGGCAACTCCTCATAGATGCCTCCTCACTGCCATCGAGTCAATTCTGATTCGCAGAGACCCTGTACAGGTTCCTGAGAGGTCACCCTTTACGGGAGCAGACAGCCACATCTTTCTCCCAAGGAGCAGCTGGTGGATTTGAACAGCTGACCTTGAAGTTAGCCACTTAGCACCTAACCCAATGTATTCAGAGAAAACAAATGAGAATCGTCCCGTGCTCCTGATGAGAACCCACCAGAGTGTTTTCTTCTGAGGGTGAGCGGGGCTTCCAGTGCAGACCCCAAGTATCAGGACTTACGGTGCTGGGGCCTTCTAGAATCCTTAACCAGCCTAGCCTAAGGAAGCAATCCCGAACTCCCAAAAAGGTTTCTCTTAAAATGCATCTCTCTTTCCGGTTTAGGTAAAACCATCTATTTTCAGAGCCGAATGTCCTCCAGCAGCCAGGCTTCCAGAGTTTTCCGCTCTCACTCTCGGATAATGACCCTGTGCCTGATGGTCCTGCATTTTGGGTCTGCCTGCAGGGTAAGACCACTACCTAATACCTCACCCCCCAGGCTTGCTTCCTGGATCCTCTGCCTGTCGCCTGGTCCATCTGGGAGACGCTTACCACTCCACTGGAGTTCTTGCCAGGGCACCCCGGTCTCGCCTCCACAAGGAGACAGGCTGCAGACTGTAGAGCACCAGCCTCTCCCCCAGGCCTCCTCGGGACCCTGCGCTGCTGCCCAGAGGAACACCAAGGCCCCCGATGGAGACATTCCATCAGACTGGGCCCCAAAAAGGGGCAGCCTCTTCCCGTGTCCCCTGAGGCTGGCCCAGGAACTCCAGGAGGATCTGGGGCATCCGGGGCCTGGCGGATGACCCTGTCCCCTCTCCCAAGGTCTCTGCTGAGCCAGGTGACCTGAGCTCAGGTCCACGTCCCGGGACCACAAGGTCCCTCCTTCTGTAAGTGGGGCACTGACTCCGCACTGCCTCAAACAGCATGAAGACAAATGTCCCAGATGGCATTGTGGAGAGTACCCCATGCTTCCTTCCACACAGCCGTCTCCTTCCTCCACTGGCTGCACAGAGCTGCCGCATACACCTGGGTCCCTACACACCTGGGTCCCTGCAAACCTGGGTCACCGCACATCTGGATAATTGCACACCTAGACCCACACACTTGGATCCCACACACACCTGGGTCCCCGTACACCTGGGTCCCGACAACCCTGGATACCCACAAACCTGGGTCCCCACACATCTGGGTCCCTGCACACCTGGGTCCCGCACACCTGGGTCCTGCACACCTGGGTCCCTGCACACTTGCATCCCCACACAGCTGGATACTTGCACACCTAGACCCACACACCTGGGTCCCCGCATACCTGGGTACTTGTACACCTAGACCTGCATACCTGAATCCCTGCACAACTGGATTCCAAACACTTAGACCCTCACATCTTGGCCCTCATACACCTGAATCCCACACACCTGGTTCCCACACAACTAAGTCCCCACACACCTGGGTACTTACACACCTAGATCCAAACACCCTGGGTTCCCGCACACCTGGGTGCTTGCACACCTAGACCCGCACACCTGGCTCCCCACACACTTGGGTTCCACACACCTAGACTTGCACACCTGGCTCCCCACATACCTGGGTTCCACACACCTAGATCCGCACACCTGGGTTCCCACACACCTAGGTTTCACACACCTAGACCTTAACGCTTAGGTCTCTGCACACCTGGGTTCCACACACCTAGACCCACACACCTGGGTCCCCACACACCTGGGTGCTTGCACACCTGAGCCCCGCACACCTGGGTCCCCAATCATGCCCGCAGCAGTGCTCTGTGCAAAAGAGCTGGGTTCTTCACAGCATGCGCGCCTCGACCTCACCAACCTTCCTACTAAACTGAACAGGGGGGGCCGGTCGTAAAACGGGTCCCGGCCGTGGCACAGCGCGTGCTCCGGAAAGACGTCGTCCTCCTCCAGGTCCTCCTCCTCCTCGGCCAGCTCGGTGACGTCGGAGTCGGGGCTCGAGAAGGTGGGGGAGGGGGTGAGAGCAACCATGCGCTGGCTCATGCACGTGTTGAGAAGAGGGGAGCTGCTGCAGCCAGAGATGACTGAACTAAGGTTAGTACAACAAGACAGAGACAGGTTAACACCAGCAACTTGAGGGCCGGAGGGGCGGGTGGGGGACCCAAACACAAGGACGCTGCTTTCAATGTGACAAAATCCAGACTGCACCCCAACTCCCAGCTTGGAAGGAAACACCAAGGTGTGGTTGTCCGGAACGTACTAGAAGGTACCATGGAAGGCACTGGCAGGCATGACCGAGAGGAGGGGTGTGGCTGAGGGATTCTCAGCCCTGCCTCCCTGCTCACGCTTAAGGCCACCAGGTGACCCCAGAGACCTGCTTGAGTAACTTCCATGTTCACACACATGGACACATGCCCTACAGCAGGTGTGGGGCATTGTCATCAAACCCCCTGAGATCTCGGGGCCTCCATACATGGGACCTGGATGGGGTACTCTGAGCCAGGGGAGGGGGCACCCACCTGCCCACAAGCCGGAACCAGGGGAAGCGGTCGTAGAAGGGGTCTCCGCCTGTGACCACGTTGTCGCAGTCCTCGATGATGCTGGAGGGCACCTCAGCCGCCCGGTCGTACATCTCCCGCATCAAGTCCAGGCGCTGCCTGTAGACACTGAGTGTCAGCGGGCTCGGCCCTGCGAGTGCCAGACCCGTGAAGGCTTCCAGGAGCCTGAGGTGGGCTATGACTCAGCCAGCCATGTGCTGGCCAGGAAGAGTCTACAGGACAGGGACTGTCGAGAGCAGGCAGTGTTGGGAGACCCAACAGCAGGAGGGAGAGACCCTGGCCAAGCTGGTGGCATGGGGAATGCTCAGAAATAGGGAGGTCACTGCAGAGTCTGGGAGGTCAGGAGTCAGAACAGACAGGTGCTGGGAACCAAAGCTCTGAGAAAATACGAAAGGGCTTCACAAAGTTGGAGAGAAAATCCCATTATCCATTAGTTTCATTTTTCCATGACCATTTTGAAACTTCCTCATACTTTAGACGTTACATGTGGCACAGTGGGCTAATGCGTCAGACTGCAAAGTTGTTTGAACTGCACGGTCGGTGGTTCAAGTTCACTAGCTGCTTTGGAAACCCTATATAGGGGTCGTTATGGGTCTGAATCAACTCTATGGCACTTAACAACAACAACAACAACAACAACATCCCCAAGAAAAACCATGGTACATGACAAGAGATACAAAGTCAGGCTGCCATTCAGTGAGTGCACATGTGTGTCCATGTATGAGTGTGCATGTCACTTCCAATGAGTGTAAATGTGTCCATGTATGAGTTTCTGTGTGTCTGCCAATACATGTACATGTATGTCTATGTATAAATACATGTGTGTTCCAGCAAATGTGTATACGTGTCCATGTCTGAGTATATGTGTCTGCAAATGAGTGTGAACGCGTCCACATATGAGTGTAGGTATGCCTGCCAGTGAGTGTGCATGTATGTTTGTATGTGTCTGCCAGAGTGTGGACACACATGTCCATGTATATGCATGAATGTCTGCCATTGAGTGTGTCAGTGTATGTCAAATTTTAAGTGTATGTCATTGTTGTTAGGTGCCATCGAGTCAGTGCTGACCCACAGCAACCCTGTGCACAACAGGACGAAACACTGCCCTGTCCTACGCCAACCTCACAACCCTTGCTTGTTCACATGTTCACAACCTCCATGTTCACATGTTCACAACCTCCATGTTCACATGTTCACAACCTCCATGTTCACATGTTCACAACCTCCATGTTCACATGTTCATAACCTCCCATTACTGCTGCCACCGTGCCAATCCATCTCACTGGGGTTCTACCTTTTTTTTCCTCCAACCCTCCACTTTACCAAACATGATATCCTTCTCCAGAAACTGGTCCCTCTTGATAATATGTCATAAGTATGAGAGACAAAGTCTGGCCACCCTGGCTTTTAAGGAACATTCTGGCTGTACTTCTTTCAACACAGATTGGTTGTTGAAATCTGTGTTGGGCAGTCCATGGTACTTTTAATATTCTCCTCCAACACCATAACTCAAAAGCATCAATTCTTCTATGGTCTTCCTTATTCACTATTCAGCTTTTGCCTGCATATGAGGTTATTGAAAATACCATGGCTTACGTCTTGGTCCTCAATACGCACCTTAGTCCTCAAGCTGACATCTTTGCTCTTCAACACTTTAAAAAAGGTCTTGTGCAGATTTGCCTAATGCAATACATCATTGGATTTCTTAACTGCTGCTTCCATGAGTGTTGGTGGGTGATCCAAGCAAAATGAAGTTTTTGATCATTTCAATCTTTTCTCCATTTATCTTGATGTCATTTATTAGTCTAGTGGTGAGGATTTTTGTTTTCTTTACATTGAGGTGCAACCCATACTAAAGGCTGTGGTCTTTAATCTTCATTAGTAAATATTTTAAGTCCTCTTTGCTTTCAGCAAGCAAAGTCGTATCATCTGCATTTTGCAAGTTGTTCATGAGTCTTCCTCCAATGCTGATGCCATGCTCTTCTTCACACAATCCAGCATCTTGGATTATTTGCTCAGTATATAGATAGAATAAGTATGGTGAAAGAATACAACTCTGGTGCACATCTTTCCTAATTTTATACCATTCTGTGGTTCCCTTGCCTCTTGGTCTACGCACAGGTACCTCACAAGCACAATAAGGTGTTCCAGAATACTAGTTCTTCACAATGTTGTCCATAGCTTGTCATGATCCACACACTCGAAAGCCTTTGCATAGACCATAAAGCACAGGTAAACATCGTTATGGTATTCTCTGCTTCCAGTAGAGATCCATCTGATGTCAGCAGTGATAACCCTTCTTCTACATCCTCTTCTGAATCCAGCTTGAACCTCTGGCAGCTCTCTGTCAATGTACAGTTACAGCCATTTTTTAATTATCTTTAGCAAAATTTTACTTGTATGTGATATTGATATTGTCCAGTGATTTTCTGCTTTCTGTTGGGTCATTTCACTTGGAGTGGACACAAATATGGATCTCTTCCAGTCAGCTGGCCAGATAGCTGTCTTCCAAATTTCTTGGTGTAGATGAGTGAGTGCCTCTAATGCTGCATCAGTTTGTTGAAAGATTTCCATTTTTATTCCATCAATTCCTGGTGCCTTGTTCTATGCCAATTCCTTCAATGCACCTTGCCTTCTACCTTCAGTATCACTGGCTCTTTATTATATGCTACCTCCTTGAAACAGTTGAACATCAGCCATTTCCTTTTGGTACAGTAACTCTGTGTATTCTTTCCATCTTCTTTTGATGCTGTTTGGATCATTCAACATTTTGCTTATGTTGTTGTTGTTGTCAGGTGCCATTGAATCGGAACCGACTCATAG